ACACACACACAACGAAGAGCATAACTGTACGAATGACAATGGAAATTGATAATTTAAATGGGTCATAAATATTAGACTCTCTTGGAAGGAAAATGATTCGCATCGAGCGATGAAATGATTGTTGAAACGAATGTCTGTCTTTCCAAGGATATCGTGTTGTATAAGTTAGAAGAAACTGACTGAGAAAAGAAAATTGAATTTTCGTTAGTCTTTCTTATAGATTAAAAAACTAACTGAAAAACGAATCAACTGTAACGAGATGACAAAGGACGATCATGTCGAGAAAATAAGTTCGATTTCTCTCCCGATTAACGCCTTTCTTTATCTCTCTCCCCCCCCCCTCTTCCATAAATTCTCAATTTTCATGGACACATCTCGCAGACAATTAGACGTCGCGTTACAATTATATTTCCACTGTCTTTTTAATCCACGATTTTGTCCGGGGCTCTCGACTGGCAATCTTTTCCTTCATCGGCTAAAAGCGATTAGAATATTCGCATCATCTCCCCGTCCGGAAGTTTTCAGTTTAATTAACGGATATGAGATACCAAATTGTGGACATATTCTATCTGGTATGGAATTATCGACGAAGATGCGATTAACGTGGTAACTCAATTAGAATCTCGATTAGTTCCTCACACCCTGACCGCTTAGGTCTTTCTCTCTCTCTCTCTCTCTCCCTCTCATCATCGCTCTCGACCTTGCAGCTCTTCTTTCCCCAGCGTGCTCCACGTCGTTTAGCGCGAGTTATTTCTCCCCCTCCCCCTCGAATCTGAAGTTTTCGAAAATCTCCGGAGAAATTGATTCCACTGATTTGAAACGGATTCTTCGTGTGCTCTCTTTTCTTTTTTTGTTTTTTTTTTTTTTTTTCGATTATCGCACGACACTGAAACATATCAGCCAGTCAAACGACTTACAACAACAACGCTGTGTCATTTGGATTCGATATTTTCGAATTTCACGACGAATTGATTTGAAGATAAATTTTTCGTGAAAAAACTATGTTTTTTTTCTTTTCTTTATTAGATAATCAAATCGACGTTTACTGTTTAAGGACGAAAAAAATTAAAGAATTGAAGGATTGAAAGATTTTTTTTTTTTTTTGCTTTGATTTTCATCTGATATTTAGTATTCACAGCATTGTACCATTTAAATTTAAATTTCGAAATTCCGCTGTACGAACTTAGGAAAAAATTAGAAAAAGGCTTTTAACTAGTTACAATAATTTGAAATGAATAGTGTCAATCGTGTTCTTTTTCTTTTTTACAATTAGATGACTGCATCAATGCAACATGATAATCAATAATAAAGATTCTTCTTTCTATTTTGATTTCGATTTAATATATAAACTTGGTAATATTGATAATGTCATAAAATGCGGGTAATGAAAAACTCACTAGCTTTCTCCGCGTACTATTCTTATTTGTTTCGAGTAATAAGAAATAGTAGTCAAGAATGACAGAAATTGATCAATTATGAATTCATGCATATACCCGACGC